ATAAATCCTCAAAACCCACAGCTGGGCCTGGGCCTGGATCCCTGGACAGGGAGGCCGGGCTGTGCACACCCTTGGGTTGCCCATCTCCCTGCCATTACACCTTCTCTTTGTTTTCCTTTCAGAGCTGCCCCTCACTTCTCATTTTAACCAGATTGAACTGAGTATAATGAGGAACCCAGAAATAAGGCCCAAACAATTATAAACCATTTTCTGTTGAGTGGAAGGGGATCTGTAATATAAGCATTTCCCTTTTTTCTCTGTGGGGAAACAAATTTTCTGGCTAACTTGAATTTATAAACATATTAGAATGTAGATTAAATAATCAAATGTTTAGTTATAAATTAAACTTTACTTCTGCATTGACACTTAAAATCATATGTTAAATCATACATATTTAGATATATTAACTTAGTAAATTTTTTCTATTATCACATTTCATGAAATTTTCATTCCAAATCTCCTCATGTAGTATCTTCAGCTTATGAGAGCCTCCTTTTTGAGTTAACAGATCCCAAAGCACCTCACTTTCTCTCCCAACCAAGTTGCTTAAAAAGCCATGTGTGTAGACGGGAAATTTCCTTCTAAGTCATAAGAATGTATTTGCTCTGTAGGCTTATTTTGATATTTGCAATTAAATACTATATTGCATTTTAAATAACCTTAAAAACGTATTAAAAACAGGCTATATTCCAGAAATAATGACTAAATCTGTGTGCAATTTCTTTGTTTCATATTTTTCTTCTTTTTAAAATTGGCTTGAGAGAGAGAGGAGAGAGGTACAGAGAGAGACAAACATCAATTTGTTGTCCCTCTTATTCATGCATTCATTGGTTGATTCTTGTATGTGCCCTGACCGGGAATCAAACCAGTTACCTCTTGGTTCATGGGACGATGCTCAACCGAGTCACACAGGCTGGGCATCTTTATCTCAGTTTTTTATTTTTACACCAGATAGATGATATAAACATTCAAAGTTAGCATTGATTGACAATATTTTAGGCAAATGCGTTATTTTGCAACCATCACTTTGTTGTTCAAATTGGAGTACTCCATTTTTTCTACAGGTTTTCGTCCCCTCTCTTTAGTTCCTAAGTGTTGTTGAGTAAAAACCCTCCAGTGCTTGAAAGCTAAACTTTATACTCAATGGCTTTGGTGACAGATGTTTCCTATAATATAGCACTAGCGTAGTGCCTGCAGTGCTGAACATGTGCCCGGCGCTTTGTTAATTCTCAGTAAATGTTTACGGAATGAATAAGGAGTGAAAGGTTATGTTCACAGTCTGTGTGGATATAGAGAAACAGGATTTGTCTGAGACCGATTTTAAGAGATCTACTGGACAACCAGTTTAAAATTGAAAACGAAATAACACACACACACACACACACACACAATGTAAAACTGTGGAATATGAGTTCCAAATGTATTTTAACCAAAATCTTTACATTTTTTGGTTTTCACTTTAGGTTAGTTTTGTCAGATGAGGAAGTGAACTTGAGAAGTGAATCAGGTAAGATGGTAAATTCATTAAAATGTGAAACAATCACATTTTAAATGTCAAAACAGTTTGTCACATTTTTAAAAAAACTGACAAATAAAGCAAGATATTATCGACTATACATACATAGGTAGCGCGATATTTTTCACTATGTATTATTGACTTTACTCCCTATGCCAGGGGTCCTCAAACTTTTTAAACAGGGGGCCAGTTCACTGTCCCTCAGACCGTTGGAGGGCCGGAATATAGTTTAAAAAAAAACTATGAACAAATTCCTATGCACACTGCACATATCTTATTTTGAAGTAAAAAAACAAAACGGGAACAAATACAATATTTGTATTTGCATGTGGCCCGCGGGCCGTAGTTTGAGGACCCCTGCCCTATGCTGTCCTTTACATCTCGGGCCTGTTTTGTAACCAATTTGTACTTCTCGATCCCTTCACTTTATTCACCCAGTCTGTGAAAGCCTCTCCCCTTACGTCACTTTACAAATCTCTTGCGTACAAATACTTTTGCGTTAGCTTTATTTTTTTCTAGCTTTTTGAGTTGTAATACTGTGTAAGTTTAAGGTGTATACTGTGATGATTATATAGATATCACAAAATTATTATCATAACAAGATTAGGCAACATACCTATCAGCTCTCATAGTTACCATATTTATTTTGAGGGTAAGAACATTTAAGATTTACTCTCTTAGCCACTGTCGAGTATTAATTGTTAATTAATAGTTAATATGCTGCCCAGCCAGCGTGGCTTGGTGACGGAGTGTGGACCCATGAGCCAGTCTCTCATTTGTTCTGAATTTTAATTGGTTTTTTGAATAAATTTTTCTTCATTTGATGTGTGCGTTTGGAACAATTTCTAGAGAATTTTAAATAGTTATTTTAAAAATAATTTCCACCAGTTATTTAAAAACTGGTGTGCAGGTCCATAGGCCTCCTCACTATCATGCTGGAAGCCCCTCTTTTTCTTTTTTATTTAATAAAGGTGTAGGGTCAGGATTTTTCCTCTGTTAATTGCTATTTAAGTATCCCATGGATTATTCAGGGTATGGCAAAAGTAGGTTTACAGTTGTGAGTATGTAAAACAAAGTTTTATTCTTATTATTTATTAATTATTGTATTATTTTCCACATGAACAACTATAGACCTACTTTTGCCCCACCCAAAATGTCTTCTTTATCATTATTTTTCAGAAATTCCATTCCACTTGGGACCAAGAATTAATAGAATATATTAAAATTTACAGGTGGAAGAGCCTTTCAGTTTTTTGGTTTCATTTTTTAAATGATTTTATTTTATTGCATTGTAATCAGAGCATGTTGTTTGTAATATTTCTACTTTATGAAAGTCACTGATTTTTGCACCTTAGTATAATTAATTTTTGTGAATTTCAGTGTGTGCTTGAGAAGAAGGTATATTTTCTATTAGGGTTTATATATATTCAAAACAACTACTTTTATTGATTATTTTGTTTAGATCTTTTCTCTTCTTGGACTATTTTGTACTGAGTGATATATTAAAGTCTCCTATTATTAATCTGTATTTCTCCTTGCATCTCCTGTAGTCTGTCTTACATAGGTGGTTGGTTAATTATTTTACATGTAGATATGCGTAACTGTTATATCTTCATTGTGAAATGTGGTCATTTTGATCTAATTAGAAGTAATTTTCATATATGCTTTCTATCAGTTTATTAAAATTATGTTAATAAAATATGAGAGCAATGAAACAAATTTGGCTTGCCCTATATCCTACTCTCATTCCTTCAAAAAGAAAAAAGCCAGTCTGTTTTTGTTGTCACTCAACAGTTGCAAAAGATTTACCTGGAGATTCACTGGAAGATGATTTTGAGAAGGAATTCTCATTTCTGAACAACCTCCTAAGTCCTACTTCTTCAAGTTCTAGTGAATTTACTCAAGAATGCCAGACTGCCTTTGGGAGCCTCACGTTCCAGGAGCCTCCCGTGGGGTCCGAGCCCCTTGCTCATTCCCAACGATTCCTTCCTTCCCAGCTCTTCGACCTTGGCCTTCATGCTGCTGGAGCCTTCAACAGTGAGTGTCTCGGCCACATTTGGACACCCATGACTTATTGATCTTTGTGAAACAAACCATTGTGCATGTGGATGCTAAAGTCGATAAGACTGATTCTCGTTGACTTCAGTACTACGAGGTAAAATCTGCAGTCACACCAGTCAGCTGGAAAAGTAACACATACCCCACCCCTGGAGTCTGTGCACAAGAGTGAAACGGGAGCTGCTTTCCTGCCCCTCCACCAGCCCCCCTTTCTTCTCTGACGTTCCCAGGTATCTTCTCCACATGGAAAACCAGGGTCTTGTCTGAAACTATGGAAAACCAGGGTCTTGTCTGAAACTCTTGACCTGCTAAGCCACCCCGGCCAAGGGCAGGCAGGTGCTGTCTGTGGCAGCCTTGTGGGCAAGCCTGCGGCATGGGGACCGCAGCAGAGAGCTGGGGGCGGGCTGTTTTCCTGAGGAAAGGGTCGCCTGCTTTGTTTATATGTGGAGAACTCTCTCTACTCCCGCGGTTCCTCTATCCTGTGTCCAACCCAGCACCTTGGGGTCACTCTGCTCCCCACTTCCTATTGGTTGCTAGGTCCCGTCTGATCTCTTTCTGAAACATGTCTCAAGTTTCCCACGGTCCTCTCTGCCTCTGCTACCAGCGCCCCTTAGAGCCTCATTTGGCTTCCTGGGTTTGTGCTACAGTCCTCCTCACAGATCTCCCAAACCCTCGTCCATCCTCCCCGCATCCTCCAGCTCTCTCTCCAAGCAGCAGAAAGAATGAATCTTTCAGCTCCATTATAATGTTATGGGACCACTGTGGTATATGGGGTCTCTGTCAGTGGCCAAAGTGTCTTATGTAGCACGTGACCGTATTTCAAAAGCACTTTGAAAAATGGAAGGCAGTCTAATCTAAATCTAGCTGGGACTAAACATATTATTTGAATAAAATACATAATTGCAGATAAATTCTAAGTGTTTTATGCCTCTTATACTGTAGAATCTTACCCTGGTATGAAGACTGGAGGACTTATTAGATATTTTTAAGTTTTCTTGTTTTTCGGATGCTACTTCCTATTTGATTAGCAATGGATGATTCTTTCCTTTCCCCCGCCCCGCCAGGCTGGGCCTCCAGAGGGGGATTCGAACCTCCTCTCTCACACACTGATAGTCAGCCAGTGCCTTCACAGAGTCCAAAGAGATCAACAAAAGGTAAGTTATGTATTTATGGTCTTTGCTATCATATTATCAATTAGTTGAATTCAGATAAATTTAGAAAATGTATCCAGAAAAATATTTTATAAATATAAATTAATAAAATAATACTTTATAAATTATAATGAAAGCTGTACCTGAATACCACTCACCGTAGAAATAACTGAATGGAAATTTGTGATCTTGCCATGGTAAACTCAGTTCTGTAATCTTTTCTTTTTGGTGTGAAGGTTCGTTGATGGTGGATAATACCACTGGGGACAGAAGATGCTCTTTGATTACAGGATGCCTGTTGACAAATAAGGCGCTCATTAGCATAGGGCCTGGTACAGAGTAATTGCTAACATACTGCGTACTGACATATTGGTGTCTGCAGAGCGTGTCCATGTTATAATTACCATATGGGTATACATAGAAAACAGACACATTCTGTCTTGCAGAATTTTAGATACATATTAATCTTAGGCACTGATGTTGATTTCTTAAAGCTTTTTTAATCTGAGAGAATTTCAAATGTATAGAAACGTCGCATAAATGAAAATACCACAAAGAACACGTGTGTACCCATTGCTCAGATTCTCCTATTGTTAGTGTTTTACCCCACTTTCTTTATGGAGGCCTCTCTGTGTTATTTATTTCTGAACCAATTGAGGATAAGTTACATACATCATGACCATTTACCTATAAATACTTCAATTTGTGTTTCCTAAGAACAGGTATATTGTTTTGCACAAACAAAGTATGATGATAAACTTTGGGAAACTTCATCTTAAGATAATACTTTTCTATAATCTGCCATGTTTGTGTTCCAGTTTGGTGAGTTGGCCCAGTAACGTCCTTTGTAGCACTTCCCTCTCTGGCAGAGCAAGTCCAGGGTCATGGATTGTATTCGTTTGCCATGTCACTTGTCCCTAACCTATTTAATCTGAAACAGTTACACACAGCTTTTCAAAAATGTTTGGATATGGGCTTTTTGATAGAATATAGTCCATCTGTCCTACTGTTTTTTGTTTTTACTGGAATGCGTCTTATTTCAATTTTAGCGAGGGCTCCATGTGATTAAATTCAGGTATTCTTTTTTTTGCAAATTTTTACTTAAATTTTTAATTTAAGCATAGTTGGTAATATTAGTTTCAGGTGTACAGTATAGTGATTTGACATTTTATACCTTACCATGTGATCACCCCACTAATTCTACCAATCATCTGTCACCGTGCAAACTTACCACAGAAGACTTGACTACTGCTGCCTTTGCACTTTTAATCAGACCTTTTCTCAGAGCAGCATGCAATCACTTAGACATAAGAGCCTCAGCCAAGTACAGGTATCTGCATTAGTTTGTCAAAACTATCCTTAAGGAGATGTAATTGATAGTTTATCCTTATCAGTTGCCTTAAAATTTTTTTTATTCAAAAGGAGCATCTACTTTAAAATAATGAAAGTGGTACAATAATGTGATTTCAAAAACCCGAGACTCGTTAACATGTGTGTGTTTTTTTAATAGCTCCCAACCATGGTAACCAAGGCATGTCAGCCTGGTTCAACCTATTTGCAGACATGGATCCGCTTTCAAACCCAGATGCCATTGGACACTCAGATGATGAACTTCTTAATGCTTGACTGACGTTCCGATGCCACTTCAGAGGCCTTGAGACATCAATTTCTCCACATATTGCCTTTGTGGAAAGGAGTTCTTATTGAATCCATACACAAAAGCATTGCTTGTGAATATATAACCCTTGTCAGCCAGCTTTAGACAGATGGTAAGGACCACATTTGAATACACTTGTCTCTTTAATAGCTTGGATTTGCAGCTGTTGATAATATGTGGGAAATATTAGGAACTCCTTAGTTTGAAATAGATTTAGAAGTTTATTTTGAAAGAACAGCTGGGAAGAATTCTTCCGTAAGGGGTTGGGCTTATTTCTCTGGAGAGCCCTTTATTCAAACTGCTTTGCTGGCTGTGAGAATTCTTTATGTGTATAATGGACAGCAGGTAAATTGGGTTGTGATTTAGGGTTGGATTTTAAATAAAACAGTGGCAAGGAGAGTTCTCTGTTATGGAAAACAGCACTAGAACCAGGCCAGTTTTGTCTTTAGTTAGAAAGGTAGAATAAGGCTTGAGAACTCAATTCGCTTTAAATTTACAGAGAAACTTGGTGCTTGTTTTCTCCACTTAAGAGACTAAAATGTAATATTAAATTTTCCTTCATAGAAAATCATGGATACCCCTCAATCCATTATCGAGTTTTCGTGGGGAAGTAGCAGGATGACTTATTTGCTAGGCCCTTCCACTGTAGAAACAGAAAAATCTCTCTCCCTGCCATCAACCACAACAGTGTCCAGACACATGGCAAATGTAATGGGCAGTATTCACATTCCTGATGTGGGGGGAGGGGGGGCACGCCCTAGGCAACTGACAACCGTGTTCCTGAAATTACCCAGGAACTTCTGTCTGAATGAGGGAGACAGCCTAAACACCCTATCCTCGTACCTATTTGCATGTTCACATATTTCTTGACGTGTTTTTATCACAGAGTACTTCCTGCCGGAATCACAGAAAGCTGATCCCTAAGGGAGTGTCTTATCCTTCCCTTTTCCATTTGAGCGGCACCATCGGAGGTGTCTTTGATTGCTCAGGAAAACCTGTTAAACTCGGAGCGTTTTGAGCCTAAGTACTAGAGGGGAGGGTATTTCATTGAAGGTAGTGGAAGCTGATGAACACAGAGCCGCCGTACACACACATCAATCACTCAACTGCTCTCTTTTCTTCCGACCCTTTGGTTTGGGGGCAGTTCCCCAAGTGTGCTGTTTTTGTCATCCAGACCATTGCATCTCCATGGGAAAACACTGAGCTTAGCTGTTCACAGAAGTTTCAGTATGCTCTTAGTTCTGAAGAGGCTTGCTTATTATTTACAAGAGAGCTGCTTGTCAAGTTGGAGTCGCTGTATGGACTGGCATAGGTAAAATGCAGCCCACAGCTCACCCAGAGTGTCTGGCCTCACGACGGAACTGCCCACGGGTTCCCCAAAACACCCCACCACTGTGGCCGAGGACTGGTAGGCGGGAAAGATCTTACCTGAGTGTCAGAAACATGGACCCAGGAAAAGGCTATGAAGTCTTTCCGTGAAATCTTTTCACATGCTTCTTCCTGTTTATTTGCTTATCCCTTCAGAAGTATTTTTTTTAACTCTTCTTTTTTTATTCAGTGAAATTTCCCAGAATGCAATACTGTCTCTGTTCTGCCAAGATCCAGTCACCAGGGGTTATGATTACGATTCACAATCTAAATTTTATACCCGTGGTGACTCTGCTCTCACTTTGAGTATTTCAGAAAATGCTGACTCTATGCCTTCAGTTTGTGTCATTTTTCCTTTACTAATTTATTTCACTAATGCATTAGTTCAAATATATTTATCTTCCTCACATGCATACAAAGCAGACCCTGTTATCTCATGCAAACGAAGACACCATAGCACAGAGGAAAAGCACTAGTCTCTCTAAGCCAGAATCCCGAATACCAGACTATGAAAGTGAGGAGATACTTCCCTCAATTTCCCAAGAGCAAAGGTTCTCAAACAAACAAACAAACAAACAAACAAACCACAACAACAAAAAGAAAGACAAGAAAAGAAAAAAGCAAGGGATTTTTATTATTCAGTTCTTGTGTCTCTGACATTTTCAACACAATAGAGTATGTAGCTGTCCATTTAACCCAAATGCAATATTAACTGCTCTTTTAGCAAGTCTAGTTATACCTTCAGCAGGTCTTAGCAACTCTGTTTTTGAAGAGCACATTGGGAACTTTGTTATTAAAATGAAGGTAACCCTATTTTCTCAAGATTACTTATTTGAAGCTCATTCATTCATTTAGGGGCCAGAAACAGAAATATGATTGTTTTTATGCTTAGATTGCTAATAAAGAAAGACAGCCACATATTCAGTAGAGAGTGAAGGAAACTACAGAACAGTTACTATTTGTCTAAATCTAGATCAACCATGGAATAAGAAGCAAATTAACCTTAACTAAGTGTAGGCTTTCAAAGTAAATGGATGCTTTCTATATTAAAGGGGGGGGGGAGATATACCTTTTAATTTCAAATAAGAATGCATTTAACCTTAGGCAAGCCCCAGAATGAAATTTTGTCTAATCTCGCTACAACCACTTCACAAGAAGGGCAGGAATACCAGGGCATATTAAGATCAGAAGGTGAAACTTTATATTTCTTGGAATCTTTCATTAATTGTAAAACATAGTTCTGATATGGTTAGAAACAAACTGTATTTTAGCAAAAAAGGTTTCAGTATTTGCACAATATAGTGTTTATATTTCAACTATGGATGTTTATTTCACATAACTATCTTTACAGACCATCTGGAAACGTAGAGGTCTCACAGCGTAAGGACAAATGAAGTTTGAATGTGCTCTATTTTTCTGAGCCTCTTTTAACAAAGAGTATGAGATGGCATAAACGGAAAACTTTATTTCCTAACGTACTCAATGCAGATCCCATTATTGTTGCCCTGTTTCAAAACATGGGTTTTACCTGAGGACTGCAGGAGTGAGAAGGTCATTTGAATTGGTGTGTATATCCACCACAGAATGAAAATAAAACCAGGGCAAGTAATATCCTTGTGAGACTCATTCTTTCTCATTTACTTCTTACAGAAGGGGCACTGGAAGATATGGGACATAACAGAATGTGTTCTTTGTATAAATACTCTCAGTAGCAAAATACAAGCTATCCAATATAAAAAACGTGGGCTCAGAAGCAATAACCAATGAAATCTAAGCCTTAGCATTTAACCTGATTTGCTGAGGCAGGAAATAAAAAGAAGGAAGCCAGAATGGGCCCCGGGCATCGCATTTCCTTGCCTTGAGCAATAAAGCAGCCCCAGAATCTTCGGGTACAGAAATTAAACTAAAAATACAACAAAAAAACCCACACCAAACAAACAAGTGAAAAAACAACAAAAACAAAACAGAAATTAAACTAGGATGGAAATACAAACTTTAAAATATTATTAACTCAAGAGTATTGAAAGCAGTGCATTGTTGGAGGCAGTCAATGGGGGAAGAGAAAAAGAGGACATATGTAATACTTTCAAAATAAAGATTTTTTAAAAAAGTAGTGCACTCAGGTGCTTAAAACATCCTATATAATAAAAGCCCAGCAACCATAATGACCAGAACGACCGCTTGACCAGTCACTATGAGGTGCACTGACCACCTTTTAGTCCCTTTCCCTGGCCAGCAGGCTCCCATTACCCAGTGGTGAACGGGGACCTGAGGGTGGGTGGCAGGGGGTGCGGGTGGCACCAAGCCAAGGACCCTGCCCTGCCGGTCGCCCCCCACACAGAGGACAACCCACAGCGGGGTTGGGGCTGGCGAGCGGGTGGGAATGGCTGACTTCTTGGTCCCTCCCCCCAGCCCACAGGCTCTGATCGCCTGATGGCAAACTGTGAACCCGGGTGGGTGGCGGTGGGAGGCGGGGCCGGCTGCCAGCAGCTGGGGAAGATGGCCCTGATCGCAGGCTGCACCTAGGGACCGTATCCACGCACGAATTTCGTGCACCGGGCTTCTAGTACAATGTATAAGTTGTTTAAATGGGCAAAGAAAAGCTATGGGACGAAAAATGTTTGTTGGTCCAGATGGGTCATATCCATAAGCCCAACATAAAATATCTTCTTCTACCTTTTGTGTGCCATTGAAAAGGAGACTAAAAATCTCAATAAAAACTGTCCTTGGCATTTAAAGTGAAGTCGTGGTTCTTCTCTCGGTGTTGTAAAAATAAACCGTTCAGTGCTCAAAGTGTAAACAGCAAAGGCCTATATGTAGATACAGGTCTGCGTGGAGTGAACAGGTAAGATTTTGAAGGGCATTGTTTTTACATTAAAGAAAGTTGTTTCCTTTTTCCCATTTCAAAGTAATACCCCACAGTCTGCAAAACACTGGAACGTAGAAAAAGAAGTCCTCCACAGCCCCGTCATCCAGGCATAACCACTGTTAACATCACACATTACTCTGTATTGCCTTTGACCTCATATGGGATTTAAATTATGATCCAGATGATTTATTTTATTGTTTTCTCCATCTAACATGGGCATACCAAGTTATTGAGATTGAAGAAATTACTTTTGTAAGGCTTTTCCTGGAAAAGTAAATTAAAAAAAAACCCCACCAAAAATGTAACCAAAGTCCCTTTCTGCCTCTCTAAAAGATGAGCCCCCACATTAAAGAGACGGTTTCTCTTGAAATTTTCCAGCTCCAGCAACATTAAAACCCAGAGAGCTGGAGGGCCCGTGCCACTGACCTGCTTGCTCAGGAACCGGCGTCTCCCCAGCTGGCTTTCCCTCGCCCTCTGCACTGCGCTGCCAGCTTCTGAACGAGAAGCCACAGAGAACAAACAGGGCAGCGGTCCAATGGCCCATCATCTGCAGTGAAACGGAAACACCTCTATTTACCACTGTCACTGTCACAGGAGAACGCCACGGCATATGGCTCTGTGGTCAAGTTTGAGTTCTATAGCCAGTCTTGGTTCAAGGGCAGACTCTGACATTTTCCAGATGTATTGCCATGGATAAGTCACTGAATCTAATTCCAATTCTATTATATGAGGCAGTAAAAACAGCAGTACCTGGCTTCAGAGGGTTATTGTAAAGGTTATGCTAAACAGTTACATATAAAGTGTCTCGTTAACCGATCAGTAAGCGTTACCTAATTTTATGATGATTTCTGCTCAACAGCCTTGACTATCTTACGCGTGACAAGCTAAAATGAGTTCTATGGGACCATTTTCTATGGCCAAAAGCTTCCGGCTTTCCTAAGGAATGAATAAACGAACCTAATAGATGAAGGAGAGAAGTGTTTGCTTCCGGTTTTGTACGTTCATCTGTTTTCATGGTCTCTACCTTTTTCACTGACAGCGCTAGCAGCGGCATTTCCTTCATCACATAAACAGGAAAGCTGAGTTTCAAAGAGGTGACTTCTCCATCCGACACCCCATGACCATTAGGCTGAGAGCCAGAACTAGTCCCCAAACTGTGGCCCTAAGTCCAGGGCTTTTCTGCATCTCCTTGGTATCATCCCAATAATCTGAAAAATAAGTGCTTAATACCTGGAATTGGGATGAATGCTTATACTATTGGTTTTTAAGCATCTGAGCCTCCATAACAGTCTAAACATGTGTGGCAGGACTAATCCATGCTGGTGTATACACCTGGCCAGGGGTCCAGCCTGCAATGGAAGTACGTACCCTGGACTGGAATCAAACCCAGGACCCTTCAGTCCAAGGGACGATGCTCCAACCACTGAGCAAAACTGGCTAGGACGACAGTTATTACTTTTGAAAAGAAATAACTGATTATATAATTACTGGATATTACTTAGTCTCTTGACAAAATACTCCAAATAAAATATAAAACAAGAATTGCAAAGGCCCTGGTCAGATGGCTCAGCTGCTTAGAGCGTTGTCCTATACACCGAAAGGTTTCAGGTTTGATCATGGTCAGGGCACATACCCAGGTTGCGGGTTTGAAACCCAGTCAGGGCCAATGCAGGAGGCAACAATCAATGTTTCTCTCACTCTAAAATCAATAAAAATATATCCTCGGGTGAGGATTTTATAAAAAGAATTGCAAAAATACATTCCTATAAAATTATTTATCTGGATTGATATTATAAAAAGTATGGCAAGTGAAAGTACCATTTTATTTGAATTACTAGAAGCCCGGTGCACAAAATTTGTGAATGGGGGGTGATGTCCTTCAGCCCGGCCTGCACCCTCTCCAATCTGGGAAACCTCAGAGGATGTCAGACTGTCCTGTGGGATCAGACCTAAACCAGCAGTCTGACATCCCTCTCACAATCCAGGACCACTGGCTCCTAACCATGCACCTGCCTGCCTGCCTGATCGCTCCTAACCGCCTCTGCCCTCCTGATGGCCCCCAACTGCCCTCCTCTGCCAGCCTGATGACCCCTAACTGCCCTCCCCTCCTGGCCTGATGGCTCCCAACTGCCCTGACCTGTTGGCCTATTGCCCCTAACCGCCTTTGCCTTGGCCCCCACCACCGTGGCTTTGTCCAGAAGGAACTCAGACATCTGGAAAATGGCCGGTTACCCAGTCTAATTAGCATATTACCCTTTTATTAGTATAGATGCTGTTAACTATGATTGCCCTTTCTGTTCAAAGAAAGGACACACTAATCTGGCTGGGAGTCTTATGCCTCCAGGACCACCCTTGGAATGCGGTCCATCCTCATTCAAGAACCGCCCATTCTCTTGCTGTCATGCCCCCAAGGTCAGCCTTAGTTCCACCTCAGCTGGCCTGTGTGGGTTTGTGACATCACAAGCAGGCCACTCTCTTTCCATCCCATCAGAGTTAATACCAACGCTGACAACTAGATGTTTAATGGATGTGATGCTGGGTGGGACTTTGCAAATTTCTCCACCCTGTCGAGTTCCGCAAGCACCCAAGTACCGCCTCCTATTCTGCCACTTGGAAACCTCTGGCTTCTTTGTGTTTTTTTTTTTTTTTTTTCTTTCCCCTCCCGCTTTGCCTCAGGTGGGGAAGATAATGGTTTGTTAACCACAAGCAGTCTTGGAACTGGCTGGCCTTTGTTTTAAACTCCCCTGGATTGCAACCTTTACAAATTTTACACTTTTAAATTAATCTTAGAATCTTAAAATTTTAACCCCAGCACAGAAAATCATAAATCAGGGAAGAGCAAATTAAAGTCTCTACTTTACAGACATAAAGACAGAAATCTTAACTAGCTAAGAATTTCTGGTGGACCAACACCCTGCCAGGGAGAGCAGGATGAATCCCCAAGAATAAGGATTCTTGGCAGCTGCTGGGACTTTCCTGCAATCTCTGTCATGGGTTCAGGCCCACCACACACAACTGAGCTTCCCCCAAGGCAGGTTTTGCCCCATCTTTAAACAAATTAAACAAAAAAATCCAGACATAAAACATCAACATACACTCTCATACAGGCACGCGCAACACTAAAAGTTTACACCAAGAGCAATGTCTCTATCCCTGGTTTGGGAACTTGCCTCCCTAGAACCTCAGCATTCTCCCAATGGACTATTTTGGGGGAATGTATTCCCTAGGCCTAGAATTTCTGTTTCCCATCCTTGGCAGGACCCTTGTGACTATGTACTCAACCCCTCATGTTGGAGGTTTCTCATACTCCCTGAGATCTGCTTTGTCCCTCTCTGGTCACTTCCCTCGCAGGAGAATGGAACCACAGATCAGAACTCTGCACTCGCTTTATGTCCAAGACACATTCCAGTCACATATTCCTGACCTCCGAGGGTACCCAATCACCAAAGTAGTACTCAGTCCAATTTCCCACCTTGGCTCATGCATGAGGTTACCTGATTGCCACGGGTCTTGCTTGGGCCCTTCCTGAGTTGCTGTTTGACTCTCGATCCCAAGCTCATAGTTGGCCCAGGGGTAATAGCTGTCACTCCTCGCCGAGGCCGCCGCAACTTGGCAACAGGGTGCACCTCCTCAGGAGAGGGGTCTAATTTCCCTGTGGCAATAGACGGTATCCTGGATGAGCCCCCAAATTGTTAGAAATAAGACAAGCCCCCGAAGTCAGGGGTTCTGGTAGAACACAAAACATATTCGGGAGCTATGCAGCAAGGCAAACATCTTTACATCTACATAGAAAGGTGAGCACACATGGTCTGGAAGTATGCATACACAGAGCAGGCTTCCTGCTCGGGATTTATAATCCCTGATGCACGTGACCTGTCCCTTGCTCAGGTGCACAGTCTTTTACAATAGGCTAATTCAAAGGGAGGAGTTGGCCTTTGCTGTTACAAGATGGCAGCCCCCAGGGGAGCTCAAGCCGTGCAGCCAACATGGCGGCTGCCAAGTCACACACTCCAAAATGGCGGCTGTCTAAACTGTCCTTTGACATAAAAGAAGGCTTGTTTATTCCCACAAGACCCAACACCCTGAGCAAATCACTGAGGCCAAGATTCTGCGTGGGCAACATCAGTTAAGGGTTGCCACTTTGCTTCAAGAAGGCTTGTTTTGTCTAGTCTATACATTATAACAAAACCCCATACACTAAAGTTTATAGTCTTTAGTTAATGTCCTTCCTTCTTAAGTAGAAAAAATCTCCTTGAATAAAGTGATTGCCTTGAAGACCACTAGATATTCATGAGTGCTGCAAGATGCTTGTATCCAGGCAGGTGATCAGTGACTCTGGGTAAATGAATATATATCAATGCAAGTCAAACAGAGGAGATTTTTCTTTATGTTTCCAGGTTCCTGTGGTCTCTGTGAAGGCTACTGGTTCTTCTCTAAGGATAATGAAGTAGTAGTTTACAGTGTTACACAGGGCAACCATAGGAGATCCTGAAAATCAAATAAAGCAGCCAATGAGATGTCAGAGATATGATGCAATGGGGTGGGGCTCAGATAGAAGAAGAGAGTATTTGAAGAGTATTTAAATTTGGCAAGAGAAGGACAGAGTGACAGGAAAGCACAGGGACAAAAGAATATTAGTAGGAACTGGAAAGCTGCTTGGTTTTATGCTTTCATTGTCTGAATGAAAAGAAAATGTCCCCAGAGGTAAAATGACTTTTCAATGCCACATAAGACTTAGTCCAGAGGCTGAATTAGAGAAAGATGAACACAATGAAGGCTGGTAGCAAGGGGAGAAGTTGAAAGTCAGAAGTGGAGGGGAAATGAGAGGCTGAATCAGTGCCTACAGTTTAGGGAAGGAGCACTGGCTTTTTATTTTTGTTTTTTTTGGTGGTGGTTTGTTGGTAGAAGAAGGAAGTCAGAATAGAGGTATTGTGGAGTAGATTTATTTAAAACAGAAGCTAAAGACCAACTTTCCTGAAGAAGAAATAACATCTGTAAAGGAAATGCTGTTTCTGAAAATTCCATTGCTAGCAGTTCTCCTCGCAACTGGTGACAATGAAGATGGTAAGAACTCTGGCCACTGCCCTGTTGGGTGCAAAAGTGTGTGTGTGTGTGTGTGTGTGTGTGTGTGTGTGTGTTTCTGTGTGGTATGGTGTCCCCAGAACATACCTGGAGAGGAGAATGTCAGTGTAGTTCTCAGTATCCCGTACTCTGGGACCCTGTGCCCTTCTGAAGATTGTTTGTAAAGCTTGGGGCCCTGGGCAGCTGAATGTCTGCTGAAGTAGCCATGACTTCCCTAATCTCCAGATTCTAGTGTTTTCTTCCTGGCACCTTTCTTCATTCTCTCTCCTTCCCTATGCCTTTTCTTCTTCTCATTTTATCTCTTCTTTTGCCACAGCCTTCCAGGAGGAGATCTCCTTCAAAATGATCCATAGCTCATCCTTCTACAACAATTCCTGGGTGAAAATTCAGAACTCTGCTTGGTTGGGTGACTTGCAGACTCATGGCTGGGACACCAACTCTGGCAAAATTATTTTCCTGTATCCTTGGTCCAAGGGCAACTTGAGCAAGGAAGAGATAAAAGACCTGGAAGAATTCTTCCGTGGGTTCTCTATTGTAATGCCTCAAGTAATTCACAGATATGCCAGTCAGTGGAAGTTTAAATGTAAGTTCAATTCCCAAAATGGGGAGGTGCAATGTGCTGGGTGAGGGATGTGTGTCTCAATATGTTCCTTATTCCAATTTTCCCCACAGTTGATCTCTTCTGCATTCTCTGTCTGTACAGTTATTGTAACCTATAGCATTTCATTCACCTTGGGTTATTATAATCACAACTCTTTCACACTATGTGCTTCCTTATTCTCTTGCTCTCACCATTTATGTCACATTCTTTCAACAATTTGCTCACTTCAATTTCCAAAAAAAGTCATTTTTTCCTCCACCTTCAACTACCACCAATTACACTTATTCTGAACTTCAGATCAAACCAAAGTTTGTTCCATTATCTCAGAGCCGACTTACTTCTTCTATTTCCTTTTTTTTTTTTGCTTCTACTAATTTCATCTTTTTATTCCCTCTTTCCTCTAATTTACAACCCTCTTTCCTAGATCCCTTTGAGATTCAGATAACAATGGGCTGTGAGCTGCACCCTGGGGGAGCCATAGGAAGCTTCTATAGATTTGCTTATCAAGGATCAGAGCTCTTGCACACCCAGAACAATTCATTGTTTCCATCTCCAAATGGAGGAACAAGAGCTCAGGATGTGTACAGACTATTTAATCAGAATCATGCCAACAAGAAAATAGTACAGAAGATTCTCAGTGACACCTGCCCACGATTACTCTTGAGTATTCTTGATGCAGGGAAGGCAGATCTCCAGAGACAAGGTCAGTCCCATATCCTTCCTCCAAGAATTTTGTAAAATTACACCTTCCCACCTTCCCTTCAAATTGAGGATAAGGGGTGAAGAGGAAGAAGGATAATGGGTGATGAATTCCCAGCATGTGACAGATGTGTCTGTAAACCAGAGGTTCTCAACCTTCTGGCACTTTAAACACAGTTCTTCATGTTGTGACCCAACCATAAAATTATTTTCGTTGCTACTTCATAACTGTAATGTTGCTACTGTTATGAATCATAATGTAAATATCTGATATGCAGGATGGTCTTAGGCGACCCGTGTGAAAGGGTCATTGGACCCCCAAAGGGGTAGAGACCCATAAGTTGAGAACCGCTGGTCTAGGCTGATATGAAGATATGAACCTCCAAGTCTGTGTTAGAGTCCTTATCTGAGTATCTCTCCTGTTCTCTGCAGTAAAACCAGAGGCCTGGCTGTCCATTGGCTCTAATCCTGGTCCTGGCCGTCAGATGCTGGTTTGCCATGTCTCTGGCTTGCATCCAAAGCCAATTTGGGTAAAGTGGATGCGAGGTGAACACGTACAACTGGGCACTCAACAAAGTGATATCTTGCCCAACGCAGATGGGACATGGTACCTTCAGGTTTTCTTGGAGGTGGAAGCCACTGAGACATCAGGCCTGTATTGCCGGGTGAGACATAGCAGCCTAGGAGGCCAGGACATCCTCCTCTACCTGAGTAAGAAAAACTGGGGGCCGCACTGGGAATGGGAGTAGATAGCGGTCTACAAGCAGAGCAGGAGAGCCCAGTAAAACATTTGGGATTTATGGCCTCCAGACCCAAAAGAATAAAAATAGTTCAATAAAAAAGAGTTGAAAATGAGAGACCTGTAGAAGTAGGAAATGTTGAGGGTTAGATGAAAGATTCAACTCTGAAGAGAGAGAGAGGACACAAGAACAAAGATTAGTGAGGCGAACACTCAAAAAAGGCAGACCAGGGAAAGGCAGTAAATTGGGTGGGATTGAAATGACACCTTGTGTGCACCCAAATCTACAGAACTTCCTCATAACTCCATGGGCTGGATCATCTTGGCAGTGATGGTGCCCCTGGTGCTTCTGACAGCTCTTGCATTTTGCCTTAGGAAGCGCTGGTGAGTTTTTTGTGCCCATCTTTCCTGATCTTTCATCCACTCCCTACTTGTCTTCCCACCTTTCTTCTCTCTCTCCTTAGTCCTTCTTTCCTCAATCCCTTTCCTCTTACTCTTCAATTCTCACCTCCACCTCATGCAGAGTAACTTTCATTTCTGTTATTAGGTCACACTGTAAGCCGCCTGCCAGTCTTTTTCCTTTGGAATGAGATCCAGCAGCCCTGGGATTACAGACATATTTAAACACAGCATGGCGACAACGTCCGTTCAGCTCTCCATGTACAACTTTGGTTGTTTATATGTTGTTATTTGTGTGTTTAACAGTTACTTATTAATATAAACTAAAGGTAATTTTGCTTTCTGACCTGGGTCTGAGATTATAAAACTCTTATTTTAACTCTGGATAAAATGAGATCCTAGCAACCGCTACATATTGAAAAATTGATGAATCTCAGGCCATTTCAGATGTCACCTCTTTATGGGGCCATCCCTGATTCACAAGTGGAAGCAGCGTCTGAACTCCCACCACGCTTTTCAGTGGACTTTGCTGAATCTACTTCTCACTTTTTATCCGTTGTTGCAGTCATGTAGGCCCCTTTTCACCTTCTAATTTTTAAGCCTGAGAGCAAAGTCTGTCTTTTTAAAATTCGTATCATTTACAAAGTGTATAACTGTATGTAATATGCTTTCAATAAAAGCCTGTGTTAAGTTTGCTTAGCATTTACCACTAAAATCAGGTACCTGAGGTTCTAGAGCAAGGAAGGAGAAAACAAGGAAGTAACAAGTGACCATATTATATATCCTGCTACTTAACACAAACACATTTTTCTATCAATTTGTGAAAAAGAATATACTATTGATAAGTTAATTCAGGCTCGATATGTATGAAAAGAAAATTTGAGACAATATTCATAAGAGTACACAGGAAAATTCAGCACTTCATTGGTCCGGTTCACTCCACTGGCCCAAGCATCAGGGAATGGATCTTAAGTTTAGAATAGTTCAGTAAATGCAGTAGTGGCAAATTCCTGTTATTTCCTTTAACAAAAGAAAATCTTGACAACCCAGTCCTAATCTTGGACATACCCAAGGC